ATTACTATCGAAAGCTTCCAATGATAGGAGATAGAAGTTGACTCGGATCAATTTATCCTGAAGTCATTAGTGAATGACGACAGACACGAGGTAGGGTTGGTCAACTCTTCTTCTCTGGATTATTAGAATTTTCATTGCATTTCTTCCCAATATTGACCCATCTGTCGTAGTTGAATTCTCAGATTATTATTTATCGAATATGTCGATTGAGTTTGGGATTCAGGTGGAATAAGATGGCAGCATGGTAGTCCATTGAATTTCGTAATTGGGGAATGTGGTGCTTGCCTGACCAATATCTTGATGGGTCTAAAGGGTTCTTGAGATATTGGCATTGTGTTTGGTGGGAGAACCCCGACAAGCACTAATGCCATTGTCAATTGAGCTACTAGCTATGGCTGAGGTGGTGGCGTTGCTTAATGGGCTAGTTAAGACAAGAGTGGAATAATAGCTTGCATCATACCTATTAGCATTTGCACATGCTAGATGAGGTTTAATGATGCCTCAATTGGGATGAATAGATGACTTGGGGTCAACCCTAGATCATTGAATGGACGTCAGTATTGCATCAGCGTTTGCACTGAGATAGATGCATCCATGTGTGGATATGATGGCTACTGCCCCCTTGAATAAATATATTGTGGGTCGGGATAAAAGCCACCTTGTTTGGGCATTTGTTAAGAGGGTTGGTAAGCTCCATATTCCTATAATATCAAGCCCTTTTTCTAGCACCAAAATGCTAGAAAAAATATCTTTGACACCCCCGATATAATTCGAACTCAAATATATATGACCGTTTGAGGTGTCTCCATGGTGAGAACGCCAAGCTCCTGAGGTACCACCTATACGAAGATTAAGGTCAAAAAAGGTTTCCTGACCTAATTCATCCGATGCTTAAGTTAGTAACATGAGGTATATGAGTATGTACATTAATAATTTAAGGAAAATTTTGTTCTTCTTTATATCATAGGTGAGTTTTTGTGTCTGATTATAATGGTATGAAAGAAACTTATGACTCGTAGTTGAGAAAGAAATTTATGATTATTTTTTCTTTATAAACAATGAAAAATATTTCATGACGGTGATGATGATGTGAAAGATGACGTTGTATCTCCTACGAATGAGTCTCCTACCATTGTTAAGTTGGAACGAGTTCTACGAGAAGGGCAGAGAGGTTTGCGCGAGTTACGCCTCCCGGTAAACAAAAGGATGGATGCCAATCTCTCAATAGTAGGAAACACGGATCCAGTTGACCGAGCTTTGAATATCCATCCCAGATAAAATTTAGATCACAGAGACACCAAAGGTGGCGGTGACCAGGTACGCGGCCAAGCTCCTGCTTTCATGGCGCGCTTCTCGGAGGCCCAAGCGAGGAGGAGGAGGTATAAAAAGGAGACAAGCCACCAGCGTTATCGTGGAGCCTAAAAGGGAAGCAAAAGTAAAACTTTTGCCTCCCCACCATCACCGCAGAGACGGAGAGCTTGCGCCGAAATGGCAGGTGGTGGGTTAGCGCCCTCAAATGGCCAGGTGAAGCAA